AATAAATCCCAAAGTATTAATGATTGAAAATCTTACTGAGAGCTGCATTAGCAAGAGAGTGTTTCCTTAAACTGAAAGTGAGAGAGCTCAGAAGGCTGCGACAATGGATTTGACACTGCAGGCTGACACACATGCCATTCACACCAGCATTTTATGGTGGGGTTGGTGTCATGACTATCAGTTCTTGTAGACTTTTGCTAGAATGCCAGGGTAACTAGTCTAAAGTAGGACAAACACTAGCCTTGCTGGTGCCCAGGAACTGAGAAGCAGCCAACTAAGATGGGTAGCTCACAAAAACCTGCGAGCACTGTCTCATTTGCAAGGAAGTCTCCCTTGTAAAAGGTATGATGATATCTTCTGTGATTTGTAAAGTGAGTTCATAGGTACTTCTGGCTGATACAAGAGTTTGTACTGACCAACTGAGCAGTTAAAATGGCAGGTAACATAGTAAGTTGTTGGCAAGCAAGATATATCTTCTTATGTTGGCCCAATCTGAATCGTAACAGAGTGAATCCTGACGAATACACAACACTGCACTTGCCCTGAAATGTACTCAGACATTATAGGAGCATAGTGCACATTCAGCTGAGTCAATTTTTGTCACCTATTTCAGTCCCTATCCTTGTTTGAACACGTGGGGAAATGTAATTCTAAAAGGCTTGCTCATGCTCCCATTGAAATCCATGGCAAAATTCCTGTTGTTTTCAGTAGTAGGAGTGAGGGGGGCAGTTTGGGCCCAGAATCAGCAGTGTTGGTCTAGCGGAGTGATCCTCAGTGAAATTTGGATCTGCCGTGTCAGTAAAGGACTCCAGGAGATAAACTATGAAGTGCCAAAGAAATGTCCTAGCAAAAATAGAGAACATTAAAATGTTGCTAACAATACAGCCTTTAGTAGAAAGCAGGGCTCTAACCTCTTGTTTCTTATGTGTTAATTCAAATGCCCCTTATTCCATATTAGAGCCACCTGACCTTAGTAATGACCTTTAAAATAAGAAATCAATATTAAACAAACATTTGAGACTTCAGTTAGGACTGCGGTATTTGTACTTACTATACACACTGCTCTTTTGTTCTCTTTATACATAGTTATGTTTTTCACAGCAGTTACCACTTGAAAGGTTTGGAATTCGCAACATGTTTTTAATCATGCTCAAGACAGCATGACGCATATAAAAGGATGATTATCATCAATATTTCACCAAGATTGCCAAAGAGGGGGTGTATAATTACAAGTTTATGGTAGAGATAAGAGTTCATTTTAGACAAGAGTCTCTTCAGTGACTACATTTTAATCAAAACAGAGTGTCTTTTAATGGCAGATGCATCTAACTTCCAGGATACCAATTGAAATGTGAAGCTGTTTCTCATTCTGATAAGCAGTAGCTTTTTAATATGGTTTCTCACTCCGATTATCTTACATTGTGTCACAAGCATGGTGACTCTTTAAAGGGTTACGCTGTTAAAAAACAGAAACTAAATTCTATCTCTGTTAACCAAACTTGGTATTCCATTCTAGAGATATGAAACAGGAATCTCACCCTCCGAAAGCATCAGCATGTAAATTAGAATGAAAGAAGGAAAATATGTATGTATGCCTAATATCCTTTGTGAATGTCTTTCCTTTAGTTAAGAGTTCTATTAGAAACCAGATTGATAAATAAAAAAATAGAAATTCTACATAGTTTTAATTATCCTACCAGTTGCTTTCTCGTGCTTTGTATGTTATGATCATTGTCTATACTTTTTCTTCCTCTAACAATAGGAAGTCAGTTTGGAAAGGACAGAACTCTCTACCTGTGAGAAAAGACTCAAAATATGACTCATAGCCTCTCCAAAAGGACTTGTCCCTCCTTGCAACCAAGAAGGCAGTCATACACAAAATCAGTGATTGCTTAAAAATAAGAAACTGGTGCTAGATGGTGTCTAATTTCCACATCAACCTGCCGTGATTACATGCTGAAAGCCAGCTCCTTGGCTAGCGTAAGTTGGCCTGGTTCCATTGACTTCATGGGAGCCGTAGCAACTTAGGGCAGCTGAGGGTCTTGCCTCAAAAGTTTGGTCTGCACAAAATGACTGCTCTCTTGCCCTGATTGTTACCATTCAGGCTCCTTTGCAGACAGTGTCAAGGAAGTCTTGCTGTTGTTATCATTCATGGTGCATCTTATCTTCTACGCTGTAGTATTAAATGCCTATGAAAGTTCCAGCTCTTACAATAATATCATATAGCTCGCTTGTGTTCCTTCATCACCATGCTGTCCTTGAATATGGGTCTGAGCCTACTATTGAAATGCAGTGAGTTGTTTATGCATCTCTGAAGACAGAATTGGGCCTTATGCCTCTTAATCAGTGAAACTATCAGGTTCTAGAAAGCTTTTGTATGACTCCCTTCCTAAAAGTATATGAATTGTACTTGAATAAAAATGTGTGAAACCAATCAGGGAAACATAAATGTGACAAATATCAGTGAGTCAACACACACAATTGTTCCCAACTGGGGGAGGGCATTGAGGGCAGTTGACTTAGAGCCCAGAGATTTAAAACAGAGGCCCAGGCCTTTTAAATCACCATCAAAGCCCTACAAAGCACAGTCCAAATGGTGCTGAGGGAGGTTAGTCCTCACCCCCCGCCCCTTCTGTCCATAGCCAAGCCCGCCTCCCCCATGTTGCCCAGGGCCTAATGAAGTCTGTCGACAGCCCTGCCTGTGAATGTGTGTGTGTTTATGTAAAATAAGATCATTTTGCATATGATCTGTATAATCATTGAATAATCACAATTGCACTTCATTCTGAAAACTTTAAAGAGTGTGTATGTGACAAAGTGAAAATGAGGGCTATAGCAAAACCATTGCAGAGCTGAAAAGTGTCAGGTGATAGAAGTAACTGTCTGTGGGATTAGGTAGAGAAAGATAATTGATTTTACTCACATAGTATTTTTTCTATTGACTTGTTTGGGAAGAGAAATGGTACCCTGAACTGCATTTCTTTGGCCATCTAAGATACAGTTGAAGGCTCAATCTACACTAGAAATCAGGGCTGGGGAACCATTTTTGGGTCAGGGGGCCGCAGACTCTCAGAAAAATCAATCGGGGGCCGCACACAAGTGAGAAGAAAAAAAAAACCAAAAACCAAACCCTCACTGACGTGGCCCCTTACTGAGAAGGAGAAAGATACTCACCACATTCCCCTTGCACAACAGAACCTGGGGGGTGGGAGGGCTGGCTAGTAAATTTTGTGTGCTCCAGCTCACAGTGGAGGGGAAGGAAGGCTGGAGTTCCAACCCAGGCTACCCAAATGCCCTGAGTCTCAGGAGCTGGATCCAGAAAAGCCAGAGGCTGCATCCGGCCCCCGATGCAGAGTGACGTATGTTGTTCAGGATGTCCTGACCTAATCCTTGGGGTAGGCACAATTTGGGTGATCGAGGAATGCTTCCATTGACCTAACTACCAACATTCTAGGAGATGGATTATCTATGGTGATGGAAAAAACCCATTTTCCTCTCAGTAGGATGCCTCTACACTAGAGTTCCAGGAGCCGAGTTTCAGTACTGCGATTCTACCACTCCTGTGACATATGACTCTACTTTTCACATACAAACAGTTCTCCTGCCAAAAAAAGCATTAAAACTAAACTTTCAAGGACTTTAGTGAGTCAAAGAGTGAGGGGAAAAATTGTTGAGGCAACAAAACCAAAGCAAGCATTGTAAAAAGAGAGCATGGTGAGAAGAGGTTTCAGCACTGAGAACATTTATTTTGATTGTAATGAGGCTTTCTCCTCCTAAGACATCAGATGAGAAAAGTAAAGCACTGCAGCTTTGAAATTAAGAAAGAAACCCTGAAGCTGTGAGCACGTACCGGTACCCACTTTGCTTTATCGAGTTCTCTTCTGAAACATGCCAGGCTGAGATATTGACTGCTTAGGCCCCTGTTGGGCATCTAAATGTAACCAGCAGAACTTGAGAAAATTGTGCATCTCTTGCTTTACTAACAGATATCCATGCCTATAAATTACATTTTGCAGAGTTAATTCTGCCCTTTGCACAAACTGGAGCAGTGACATTACCATTTAACTCACTAGAAACATAGCGGAAATATTGATTAGTGATCTTATACAGCAACCCCTGCCAATCCTGAGCTTGTTAAATGACTATTGAAATAAACATTGATATTTAATGAAGGTTGTTGTCAAGCATGTTAAGCAAGTGGCTGAGATTTCTAGGAAACATAAAATAGGAAATTAGTTAATCTGAATGAAACTCAAAAACCAAAACATAACTTGATGTTTGTGGGATTGTTTTATAAGCTAATGGATGAGCTACGCATTTACAGAGGCTTTAGTCAGCATTCTCTCCAGTATGTAGGGTGAATTTCTAGGTACAGCAAGACCGTTATATTCAGATGTTGTGTGTATTGCATAATCTGCAGACACAATTAATACACAATGTACAAAAGAGCTTTGCATGGTGGCTCCTTTGTAGGCAGGTCAGACTGAGAGCAGAAAGGAAAGACAGCTGTGGTGGAAAGGCTGGACTACTGGGATAAAATGTTGGTTCTTTCCCAAACCTTTTGTGTGATCTTGAGCAAATTTGTTCATCTCCCTGGGCCTAAATTCTCCATCTAGGGATGGAAATTCTTGTCTTTCTCTCCCACCTCACCACCTCCCTCGCAGGGATAGGGTGAGGAGATGTTCACCACTGTTTGTGAAGTGCTCAGAAACCACGCTGACAGGACCATCCAACTACCTAGGTAGATAGAATTTTGTTGTTTGATAGATTGTTGTTAGTTTTTTTAAATTCATCCTCTCACATCAAACTAGATAGATCTCACTGATTATGCAGTATCACCCCCCCCCCCCGAGTTTGTGAGCACCTATCAAGCATTTCGTTTTACACTCACCCTCTATAGTATTATTCCCTTCTTCCAGTCAGAGAGCTCTCTGTGGCCCAAGATTACACACACTGTTTGGGATGTAGCAGGGCAT